CAGGCCACGATACGATACGTTTTTCGATATTGTGCACTTTCAATTCAAAACGATTTGATACGGTTCAGTGAATAACATACTAAATGATGGCTGTGATACTGAAAGTCTATGCACAAACTTTGTGGTTTAATAGTAAAAGTATTTATGAAAAACTCCCATTTTACTCATCGAAAGAGTGAAAAGTACAAAGGTATTGCATAAACAAGTTTCCTTTCTCCAAAGAAGCAATATAATTATAGCTCTTTCACAAAATAATGTAGTAAAATATACCAAAAATACTCTTGGCAATGTATCGATACAGCAGCCCGCGATACTGATGCCGTTTCATCAAATTAAACAATACCCTTAGATACGATATCACGATATTTTAGTTATTATTGCATCATTAATAGCCTATATGGCAGAGTCTTTCCATATGACAAGGCTAAAACTGAAAAGACTTGCACCTCAAATCTGCGTTGATGCGCCAGAGGTGACTCACCAGGCAGGTCCACATATTACACGTGTTAGGCAGGGGGGGAGGGGGGCGACGCAGAGAGCCGAGCGAAAAGGTACCGGCACAATGGATCTGGAATGCGACGGGTTAATCTGCTGAGAATCGAACAAAGGCCCGGGCGTTGGGGGGTGGGGGAGGGGGGCGCAGGGGACAAAGGGGTGACAAGGCAGCGGGGAGGGGGGTTAGGGTCCGAACCATCTGGGGCCATTGTCTGGGGGAGGGCTGGAGGAGGGGAGAGGGCGGAGGGGGTCACGGTCCGGGCCCAGTGGTCAAACCGGAGCTGATGGTTTTGGAGTCGGGGGGCGCTGCGAACGTCTGACCGCTGTGAACTAAAGGATAACGTTCAATCACTTAAAGGTGCTGTATTTTAGTTTTTACGGTCTTAAAAAAAAACTGAAAATCAAAACTAGTTCATTTTTAAAAGGTCCTATGTTACACAAAATTGATTATTGAGCTTAAAGATGTGTTATAATACTGCTACCTCCTCAAAAACACACCTAGAGTAGAGTTTTGTTTCATTTACAGATGTTTATTATTAGTCTGTCTACACCTCTAAATCTCCAAACGCTCTGTTCCACCTTGTGATGTCATGCAGTCGTAGTGGTTTTCAAGTTAACAGCTACGTTTTTTTCCTTTTTGTTTAGTAAATATTGGAAATTCAGGGGCTAAAATCATCCAAATGATTCTACTGAAGGTGTATGGAGTTTAAAAACACAGTGGAGCACTTAATGTTGAACCCCATGACATCACAAGGTGGAATAGATCGTTTTCAGTTTGAGAGAAAAACTATAAATAGTCTAAAACATGCAGGGTTTGTGTGTTAAACATGTGTGAATGAAACAAAACAAAACTCCGGATGTTTTCGATGAGGGAACAACATTATCACAACATAGATCAGAAAATAGCGCAGTATGGGCTCTTTAAACAGTTTGCAGGCGTCCAAACTTATTCCTCGCTTTTATAAACGCATTCCTAGCATCCAAATTATTCACCATGATGAGTTTATAAGCACATTTCACAACTTTCAGTGGCCAGCGCGGAGTTTCACAATCACAGTATTGCATTATACTAACGGCAAACCGTGCAGCATTAGTTATAAGGTTCATTTATTTATATTATTTTTATTTATTTATTACTTTGTGATTCACAGCAGGTAAAAAAGGCTTTAAAATGTTTAGATTTTTAGAATTTTTATATATTTTAAAATTATTTATCAATACTAATAACAATTGTGCAAACTAATTATATTACTTTAAATAATATGCCACTATAGGCTTGTCACAATAGCACATTTTGAACCACTGCTACTATATATTGCTGAATTAAATATAGACGATAAATGATAATATTTAAACTAATTTATACCACTGACACAAAAATTCAAATGATTTAAACCACAAAAACTGTTCTAAAGCTACAATATTGTTAAAAAAAACATGAGCTGCAATAAATAAATAGCAGAATGAACGTCTTTAGTAGTTAGTTTGTGTCTGTAATGAGTTTTAGAAGCTATTCATTCAAATTTACGGCTTAAATCGTATCATATAAACATAAAATACTCCACAAATTTCCCAGTAGTGCAAAGAAAATATACACATGGTAACTACTGACCACAAAAATATAATTTAATTATGAAAGCTGGAACAATATAACTGAATATTGTAATCATTATGACAGCAACTTCCCTAATCTGTAAGACACGGCATGATATTTCTATAGCCACATTTGCCCTGAGACAGACTGATGAAAGTGGCTCTTGATTAGGGTGACCAGATTTTCAAAATAAAAAACTGGGATACACCTGGTTTGTGTTGGTTGGTAATAATAAAATTGTGAAATGTGTGCGCAATTAAGGAAAATTGTTCTGCACTCGGCTCTAATGTGAGTCAGCATAGTCACATTTTCTTTGTGTCTGTATTTTACCTAAACAAGTGACAATTTATGCCTCTCTTTACTGTCGGCGAGGCTCAGATTGGTCAAAAATAGAGACACCTGGGACATTTCTTGTATAAAACTGGGACAAATCTCTGGTTTGGGATAAATCTACTGGGACAGGGGGCACAGGGCTCAAAACTGGGACTGTCTCGGGTAAATATGGACGTCTGGTCACCTTGTTCTTGATCGGCACGCAACAGATTTACACAGGCAAAGTGGGTGATGTATTTTGTCCAAGTATGCAAAGGCAGTACCACGAATTGAACCTGAGACCTTCGAGTTAGCTGGTCCTCGTTAAGCCTAGTCAACTCACACTATAAATAGATAGATAAATACTTATTTATATATAGTTTGCGTCAAGAATTTAAAGATTTTTTTGAATTTATTTGACATTAATATTTGTTTTGTGTAATCTAAAGCTGTACAATGAAACGAATTTTGATCGCAATTTTGATTTATCAAGTTGTTTATTTTGGGATTTTTTTATATTTATAGTATATTTATTTTATTTTTTAAACATAGAGATTGTAGAACAGCTGGATATATACTTTATTTTTGATACATTTATGTTTTTCTATGTCTTATTTCATGTTCAAAGTATATTTTTTATTCATTTTGTGTTTTATACATTGCAAAACTGCATTAAGGTTCATATTTGTCACCTGAATTTATTCTCAGTTTGAAAGTTTTGCGTAAATTATCAGTAACAAAGTGGGGTTTTTTTGAGCGAGAGGAAAAGAAATGCTGAATAAATGCATCGTGTAACTAAAAAAAATATCATAATCGTTTGAATAATCGTGATTTCAGTATTGACCAAAATAATTGTGATAATGACTTTTCTCCTTGTGTAACCTAAGCAAAAATTTAGAAATCTCTGATCTTGTCCTCACGATGGGGGCAGAGCGTTGAGGCTAAAACATGCGCCAGGCCCACATCTGCACGGTAACACATGCTAACAATTGAGAGAAATCTAAATACCTAACAAATACTCGCTATTTGTCAACCGTTGTGGTCCATCAAAACATAAAAATAGTGAACCGCTTTGTCCGCGTTTAGCCTCGCGTCGAACAGCCCGAATGTAGCTGCCATTTTCACAAATAATTGCAGAGAATTCAGTCATTAGCATTTAGCATGACACAAAAGCCAGTATTAGCCGAAATGCAACGCTAGTCAAGCATAGAGCAAACCCCAAGCATTTTAATCAAAGCCAGACATGGAGTTTATGCTAATGCTTGCATGCTAACGCTAACGCTAGCTCCCTCGCCGTCCGTAAACAGCGTTGGAGGAGGGCTGCTTATCTTGAGGTTTCCACTGACACTCACTTGTGGCGTGTTATGACTAATCTGATCCACTCGGCTAAACGCTAAAACCCCGACCATCACAACAACAACAATATTTAGTGTGGACCGCTGACGTGCTAATGCTACTGCTCTAAATAGACCGTTGTAGGATTATAAAATGGTCGATAAAACAATATGTAGCTCAAAGCGGCGCTCTCTATAGAGATGATAGGCAAAATGAGAATATCTCCGCCGTCAGGTCGAGTTACGGGGCAAGTGTGTGGAGAGGCAAGCCCCCTTTAATGCAAGAAAACCCTGGGAATGAAATGAATTACTTTATTTTATTTTTTATTATGTTTTAATAGGCAAAATTCTACTCTAGTAAACGTTTTTGTTACAGTTACAACTACCACCGCTACTACATCTACTACAATTACAGTTACTACTACGGCTACTACTACCACTACTACTACTACAGCTGCAGCTACTACTACAGCTACTACTACCACTACTACAGCTACTACTATGGCTACTACTACTACTACTACTACTACTATGGCTACTACTACTGGAACTACTACAGATACTACTATGGCTACTACTACCACCACTACTACTACAGCCACTACTACAGCCACTACAACTACAGCTACTACCACCACTACTACAGCTACTACAACGGCTACTACTACAGCTACTACTACCACCACTACTACTACAGCTACTACTACCACCACTACTACTGCAGCTGCTACTATAGCTACTACAACTACAGCTACTACAGCTATAGCTACTACTACAGCTAGTACTACAAATACTAGCATGACTACTACTACAGCTACTACAGCTACTACAGCTACTACTACAGCTACTACTACGGCTACTACTACGGCTACTACTACAACAGCTACTACTACAGATACTAGCATGACTACTACTACAGCTACTACAGATACTACTACTACTGCTACTGCTGTTGCTACTCTAATTTTAGAAATAGCAGATTTTATACAATATTGTATGTATTTTCTGAACATAACACAAAAATATAAATGAGACTTTACGTTCAAACAGTTACTCGAGTACTTGCGTAGAAGTTTAAACCACTGCTTCCATTGTTTTACCACTGTACGAACTTCTGACAAAATTCCAGTGAGACGTTTTCATCAAATCTGTATATAGTTGGAAGTTTTGCATATAAACTGTCTGCCTCTCTGCCACCCATAACTCCAGCCTTCAGAGCACCAAGGGAAAAGTAGAATAAATGTTTAGACCAAGTAGATACTCACCACCACCATGAATGGAGGAATCCGGGTGGCTCTCCTAATGTGATGTTCTTCTCCCATCGGATCTGGGAAAACAAGGCGAAAAAGACAGAACACTTTACTAACATAGAATAAAACTGGCAAAGCAGATTTAAACATTTCAGGTTGTTTTACTGTTCAGTTTTGCTGCAACCAACTACACAGTAATGTAACTTTACTATTTAGATAGATAAGTTTCTTGCTCTAGGACACAAGTATGGCAGTATGTGCAGATCTGGAGAGGTTTGAACTGGCAATCTTGTTGATATGCATGCTTATCCCAACTGCACTATTGTTGTCTTAATACTAAAAATTAGGGGTGTAACGGTAGATGTATTTGTGCCGAACCCTTTCTGTACAGGATGTTTGATTCGGTGCAGGGCTGTGCACGAGTGAGTTTGCGCAATTTGTGTGTGTTTACATTCCACCACTACATGTGCAGCTACACGGAAGGATCAGCTCTTTAATATTCACGAGGGAACTTGTCCGTGATTGGGGTGGCAGTGTTTCCCGCAGCGCTTTATAATTAGGGCGGCCACCTTGACAACAATTACCCCCTGCCTTGACTACGTCCCTCCGAACCACGTGAATCCTCGCAAAACTACGGTCTGGTGGTCTGTTTTTTCTGGCCAAAAATATGAAGATTGAGTAAAACTTCATCCTGGATCTGTTAGTGCTCATTGAAAAGTTTTGTTTACCATTTACAAGGAATTTATTTTTTATAATTTTTCATACACGTGTTGGCGTGACATTTCGCAGCTCACCCAGAAGCGACTTGGATGAGCTGCGAAACGCCTTCAACCAAACTAACTTTTGTCCTGTCAACAAACTGAATTTTCTCCTCGCCGTGGATTCTACTTCGACGACTGAGGGATTCTTCAGACACACACGTGTTGCTTATTTGAGGATATTTTATTTAACTTATTAGGATCATCAATCAGGATTTTGCATTTATTTTATTTTATCATTTGGATAATGTAAAATAAACAGCAAGAAAAAGTGTTTTGCATTTTGTTCCTATACTGTACCAAAAATGAACCAAACCGTGACCTCAAAACCAAGGTACGTACCGAATCATGTTACACCCCTACAAAAATGCAGGCCTAAAAGAGGGGGGGTAATACTTTAACTGTTTAGAGCGTCTTTAATTGTTGTGAAAATGCTATATTTGCCGAAAAACAATGTATTGAAATGTTTAATTAGTTTCAGTTTTGCTCCCACCTTCTTTTGCTAAGTCACTCCCCCTTCAGAGCGCCAACAACATGCACACTGGTGTCAGGTTAGTGAGGTTGTTGTAATGTTTACCATTTTGTAACATGTTTTTGTGCATTTATGAAAAATTGCTGTGCGGGAGCGTTGGTTAAGTAGGTTTGTGGGATGAGCACTGAACAGAATCTTACAGCTAAGTCTTTTATCAATGTTTTATCAAACTTTTCACAAGTACCACTTAAGAAAATGTGTGGCCTTTCAAGTGCCATCACATAAATTGATATAAATTTATGTTATGTACTATATTATTTTCTGTATGCTGCCTGAAAAATGAACTTCCTTCGAGATAATAAAGTATTTACCTAATCTTTCTATACCAGGTACAAAACTAGACTATTTTGGGTCTTTAGTACAACTCAAAAGGAAGACAACACTGACATAATTAGAAAAAATTCTGGTGAAGGTTTGTGGACTTTAAAAACACAGACTAGCTTCTTGTATCATTACCATACGCTGACGTAGCAGTGGTGAACAGCTTAAGCGTTGGGGCTGAGGAGAGGGAGACGGAGTAAATCTGCAGGCGAGCGGATGACGGCATGGGCTTGTTGTTCGCACCTGGTCTGAGCGGGCCGGACAGGAGCATGATCTAGCGTGGCTTTATCGGATTTCCATGAAAGATTGATGTAACAGCGCGCGCCCTGTAATCATGTTAACCGTGTTTAGTCTCCGCTGTATGTCCCCACAGCGCAGAGGTGGTGGGAGCATACGCTTTGGACTCTATTCTGTGATGTCAGAAAATAGATATTGGCGACATTAAACAAGTTGGCCGAAAGACTGTGTTCTGCAGTGAAAAAATAAGATAATTCTAGAGTGAACAAACAAGAGGCAATTAAACAGAATGAACTACTTTAAAGGCCATTATATTATATAAAATTGGCTTATTCAACCATTATACCAGTTATTAGACCGTATCAAGGAATAGAGCTGGGTATTGTTAAGAAGCTGCAGATACGATACATACCTCGATACATAGGCCACGATACGATAGATATCTCGATACAGTGCACTTTCGATTCTATATATTTCAAATTGATTCGATCCAGTTCATTAAAAATAAAGGCTAAATCATGGCTGTGATACTAAAAGTCTTTGTTAAACCACTTCTTTTGCTAAGTTCAAAGCACACCCATTTTAATCATCAAAACAGTGAAAATGTCAAATGTGTTGCATAAACTAGTTTTTTCTGCAACAAAACTGAAGCGCTGTAACAAAATAATTTAGTAAAATATACCAAAAATACTTTTGGAGATATATCGATATAGCAGCTCACAATATCAATACTGTATCATTACATTAAAAGATAGGATATATCGATATTTCAATATTTTTGCACACACCTACCAGTTATCAGACCATATTTAAATGGTAAGTTTTCCATCTTCAAGGCACTCAGAGCACCTGATATGATGCATATCTTGCTACATAGGCCACGATATGATACATATTGTGATACAGTGCACTTTCGATTCAATACGATACATTTCTAATCGATTCTATACGGTTCAATAATAATAATTTGTTTATTAAACCACTTCTTGTGCAATGTCAATATGAAACACACCCGTTTTAATCATCAAAACAGTGAAAATGTCAAATTTGTTGCATAAACTTGTTTCTTTCTGCAACAAAACTGTAGCACTGTAACAAAATAATTTAGTAAAATATCCAAAAAAATACTCTTGGTGATGTATCGATACAGCAGCTCATGATATCAATACTGTATCACCACATTAAACGATACGATATATCGATATATTCAATATTTTTGCACTCCCCTATCAAGTAACCACTCAGTGAGGTGGGTTAAGTGTCTTGCCCAAGGACACAACAACAGAACTCATTTGTGGGAGCTGGAATCTCACTGCCAACCTGTGGGTCAGTGGATATGACATCTCTACCAACAATGTTTACATCAAAGCGGGATTCGAACCACCAACCTTCGGATCAGTGGACAAACACTGTCAGTTCATTCAGGTGTTAATGAGTAATCCTGTATTGCCCTGCATTTGAGTTTCGAGTGCTCAGATCTATCGCCGCCCACTGCCCCCAATTTTAGATTAATATTGCGGTAAGTACAAATGTTAAATATCTGTTATAATTTTATTCTACACACCTACTTTATGTTGTGATTAGTGCTGCAATTATCTACTTGGTGAAGTGTCAAACTCTGCTTTTCATGTAGCATATATTTCTTAAACTATGAACTTACTACTTTTCTAATGCAGATATTGTGTTGGTCTTACCTCGGATAGGAAGGTCTGTGCGGACTTCTGGGCTCCCACATGTAGCAGGTACTCGTATACATATAACGCCAACCTGGAAACGCAACAAAAGAGGGATTAGTGTTAAACTGTCTTCATCAAATACAACAATAAACTGCATAATGTAAAAGTGCATGACAAAGCTGGGAGATAATACATACAAAAATCCTCATAATTTAAGAGTAGATTTCATATTGTTGTAGAAAGAATTGGTGTAAGCAAGAGTGGGAGCTGGCAGTGTGGGGTTGGCACAGCACAATATCATATATAAATGGATTTTCAATATTGATTTCCTGCATGTAAACAATGCAGACTTTCAATCACTGGCTGTCCTTGTGAAATTCATTTCTACCCTGATAAATCTGTACTTGCTAGAAGTGTTGGTTAGGTAGGTATTGAAAATCAGATGGTAATCTTAATGCGATACTAAAACTCGGAATTCAGATGCAAAGTCCTCTGGCTGGAAGGTCCCCAAGTTGGAAAGCAGGGTGTTCATCCTTCCCAAATCATAATACTTGCTTAGGCTCAACAATTCCCATCACTTTACATCTTCAACTATGGATATAGCAAGAGTTTCTTGATGCTCTGGATGCTGTCAGGCTGTTGTTCCAGGATTTCATCAAGCCCTGAAGTGTGCCTCGTGTAGCAGATACAGGCACATTTACTGTAGCACAGGATTATCAACCATGTGGTCCAAACAGATGATCCACATAGTTAAGACCTTCCTACAAGCGATTCTGAATGATTTTTCAACATATTCTGTAGCTTTCTAAGTTTCTCGTGTTGCGCTGCTTACAAATTATGTTCACGGTGGCAGGTAAAGAAATAATTTATATTTCTTCCCAAATCAATAATTACAGATGCTATAGGACAAAAACAAGAAAAAATATTTAAAATACGATTTCACCGTAAAATTCTGCAAGAAAATAAGGCAGCAATAGCTAAAATGCTCCATTTCAGTGCAGACTACAAGAAGAAATAACAGTTCTAAGCACTTTTTAAGTCTTAGTTCTTTGGATTAAGTCTTGTCAAGGCATTTTAAGAGGAAAAAGTTGCATATTCACAGTTTTGATTGTAAGCTTCCACAAAATATCACAATAAATATCGTACCGTGAGATGTATACTGAGAAAATATCGCACTGAGAGATTTGAATATTGTTACATCCCTAATCGTGAGCCTCCCCAAAATATTGTGAGCTTTCCCACGATATCGCAATAAATATCGTACCGAGAGGTTCATACGGTGATGGTATCGTATCGTGAGAGTCGTTACACCCCTATAACATACAGAAAAAATGTGTGCAGCTTCGGGAAGATCGGTAAAATGACGTAAACAAGGCCCGACATTTGGTCTGGCTACATTCACATTTCATTTTATTATGATATAGGAGCTGATTTTCTAACTCAATACATCACATACTAAAGGCCGGCGAGAACGTCCCTCCTTTCCGGGGCACAGGAGTTACCCGAGTGCCACCCAAGAGAAGGGGGCTCGAGCTGGGACTTTCAAGCCTGAGGGGGACTTTCAAGCCGGTATTCTAAAACTCGTATTGAAACCACGCAGACTTGTATAAGCCCATGGACCCCAATATGGATGACACAGATATAAGACCGCATTGTAATAAAAAATAAAAAAATACTTCTATGATTTGATGTTGAAAATCCCATTCTATTGTCTAAAGATGTTTTTTATTATTGTCGTTTCGGAATGGGTATTGAGTAAGCGCCTTTTCCTTATCAAAATCGTGTTTGCTGTGCTTGGAAGTGGTGGTGTCACAGCGCTAAAATGTCAGAGTGTCTTGCCAAAGAACACAACAGCACGCAACACAGGCATCCGATACCAATCAATGAACACTAAACACAAAACATCCAGCTCAAGTTTACAAAGCTCAATAGACTGTTAACATTTTACGAGCTCACACAGCCAAATCGCAGGTATTCCATTCTTTTGTTATGACAATTTTACACATTGAAAAGTAATTAGCAAAATAAGGCAACAGTCTGGGTCAATTAGCCAGCGTGGGAGCCCCCTACACTACACCAAGTCATGTTTAATTGTCTGTTAATAGGGCATCAATGAAGTGGAGTGCGCGATGACAGAATCCCATAGTGTTCTAATGGGAGGAACTGCGAGGCTCGATACGTGATCAATGCAACAAGCTTCGGATAATCAGGTCCTTATATGCACCATCGGGGTTGATCTGTCTCCTGTACTTTTATGTAGAACGGTTTGGCGTAGGGTTGTCAGAAATATCGAAAATCAGATACTAGATCGATGCCAGAACTAATACCGAAACTAAAGAGTCATCTGAGCAGGTATCGATACGAAAAAAGTCACATTATCAGGATAGAAATTAAAGTTTAGAATGATCTGGAGCTTTATCAGACCAAGTATTTACAAACGATTACACAGATATAAGACCACATGGAAATATAAAAGAAAGTACTACCATTTAATGTTGAAAATCACATTCTATTGTCGAAATAAAGAGTGTTTTTTATAATCATTTTGGTATCGGAAATGGTATCTAACGGAGTCTGTTCCTTAGTATCGAAATCAAGTTTGAAATGTTAGTATCGTGACAACACTAATTTGGAGAAAAGTTGGAATATTTGGGATGTTGGAAGCCATTAGGGCTGGGTATCATTAAGAAGTTGCCAATGCGATACATACCTCGATACGATACATATCTCGATACAGCACTTTCGATTTGATATGATATATTTCAAATCGATTTGATAAGGTTCAATAAAAAATAAAGGCTTAATCATGGCTGTGATACTAAAAGTCTTTGTTTCATATTCACTTGGCGCAAGAAGTGGTTTAACAAACATTTTGATCATAAAAACACTGAATATGTCAAATAAAAGAGTTTCCTTTCTCTAAACAAGCAACAAAACTGTAGCGATGTAACAAAATGATTTAGTAAAATATACCAAAAAAAATACTCTTGGCGAAGTATCGATACAGCAGCCCACGATATCGATACTGTATCATTACATTAAACAATAAGATATATCTATATTTCATTATTTTTGCACACTCCTATTGGGTATCATTAAGAAGTCACCGATACAATACATACCTCAATATAGTGCACTTTCGATTCGATAAGATATATTTCAAATCGATTCAATAAGGTTTAGTAAAAAATAAAGGCTAAATCGTGACTGTGATACTATAAGTTTTTGTTAAACCACTTCTTGCGCAAAGTTCATATGAAACACAAACATTTTAATCATCAAAACAGTGAAAATGTCAAATGTGTCGCAAAAACGAGTTTCCTTCATCTAAACAAGCAACAAAACTGAAGCGCTGTAACAAAATAATTTAGTAAAATAGACCAAAAAATACTCTTGGCGATATATCGATACAGCAGTCCACGATATCGATACTGTATCATCACATATTTCAATATTTTGCACAGCCCTTGATTTGATAAATATGTAAATTTTTCTATCAAATATTGCGTTTAGTTTTGCGTTTTATGTTTTAATAGTGTTTGCAGGGTGCATTTTAAACCCGGAAGCCTGAAATCTGAACTGTTAAAAACTCATACAAGAATCCCGTGCATTTGGAACATGTTTGTAGAGGTCTAAAGTAACGAAAAAAACTACAGGGTTAGCAGCTTTTATACAGAGAACAAGTCTCACTTTTTGCCAGCATCAAAAAATGTGAAAAACAGAACTACTAAAATTTAAATGGTTTGCAGCAGTCCAAAATTATTCCTCACTTTCCTAACGCATTCCTTGCATCCTAACTACCCACCGCAATGAGTTTATAAGCTTGTTTCGTAACTTAGAAACCAGGACGGAGTTTTGACTTGACAACAGCACTAAAAACAACTAGCATGCCAACAGCGCACCGGCCTAACTCCCTGGTTTGCGGACAATAAAAAACATTCACTACATCAAGAAGTCTCATTTTGACCCCAAGAACTTTTACTTTTACAAAATATCTGTACTGGGGCATGACAAATTTTACTTTAACACATGAATTACTACATAAATTAAATAAAGTACAGCGCCTTTAACCATATAACAGCTAGAGAAATTTAGATACTGCGTTACTAGGCGTAGGAAAACCACTATTTCGCAATATTATTCTCCATAATTAACGCAGAATATGCATATCCTGTCTGCATATAGTCGAGGTCGAGGGGCTAAGTGGCCATTACACAGAGCTTTTGCCCACTTCTTCTGGACTATGCAAATATTTGACGTAATTATTCAGAAGCCTTGTACATATAGAACCGGTGAACTGACTACTGAGAACATGACATTTTGACCATTGTTGTGATTGGAGGATAAAACTAGTGGAGTTTCTTTATCCCTTTGGTTCACTCTAGTCCTGCTTTAGAACTGGTCTAATCCAGGTTTAAAGGACTTGACGCAAAATCTACTTTTTGAAGCTTTCTACCATGTTATAATGCTGTTCCCTCATCAAAAATACGTCTGAAGAGGTTTTAGATGTCATCCATACATGTTTCAGTCATTTCTGATCTCGATAATTTCTAATCTCGATCATTTCGATCTCCCCAGGCCCTGTTCGAACCCTCCTTGTGGTTTGCGGTAGGATTCTTTCCAATGCTCAGCCCACAAGCCTACGTCACCCATTCTCCCACAGACAGTAATTCTCCATAAATATACAAAAGCATTATACAAAACAATACACTACAACTTCACAAACCCGATGCGATGTGCAGTAGTTTCTTTAATTCTGGGTTTAATCCAAATTGTAAGTGTTATGTGTGCATGGATGCAGTCTTAAAAACTCAATTACTTACTTTTGGACAGTGTTTCTTTTAAATAAGGTTTGGGTATCATTAAGAAGTTGTTGATACGATACATACCTCGATACAATGCACTTTCGATTTGATGCGATATATTTCAAATTGATTCGATGCAGTTCAATAAAAAATAAAGGCTGAATCATGGCTCTGATACTAAAAGTCTTTGTTAAACCACTTCTTGTGCAAAGTTCATACGAAACACAAAACATTTTAATCATCAAAAATGTGAAAATGTCAAATGTGTCGCACAAACAAGTTTCCT